CTCCCCCTTCCTCACCGCCCTGCTCTCTGCCCCCAGGTCCGTTTCCGCCTGGCGCCACCCTCCCCAGTCCGGGCCCAGCCGCTGCCCGTCCCTGCCGTCCCGGGCGAGAAGCCCGCGGCGCCGCAGGACCTGGGTGCGCCCGCGCCGCACAGCAGCCTGGCTCTGAGCCTCGAACTGCAGGCTGCGCGGGCCGCAGCCGCGGGCCAGTTCGACGCCGCGAAGGCCGTGGAGGAACAGCTGAGAAAATCATTCCAGACCCGCTGTCTCCTGGAGGAGAGCGTGGCCGAGGGTGAGGGGGGGCAGCTGGCAGGCCGGGTGCGGGAGTTGGGGTGAGAGGCGCGGCTCACCCCCGCTCCCCCTGCGGCCTCAGGACTGAACGTGCCGCGCTCCAAGCGGCTTTTCCGCGACCTGGTGAGCCTGCAGGTGCCCGAGGAGCAGGTTCTGAGCGCGGCGCTGAGGGAGAGGTTGGCGCTCCTGCCCCCGCAGGCCCGAGCCCCGCCTCCCAAGGTGAGGGCCTGGGCCGGAGTCCCCTCCCGCATTCCCTGCCCTTGGCCGCCGCGGCTTCTTCCCTCTCCTCGTGTAACTGGCTTTGGACTCCATTTCCGACAGGAGCCCCCTGGGCCAGGGCCGGACATGACTATGCTGTGTGACCCAGAAACATTATTTTATGAATTTCCACACCTGACCCTGGACAGTCTGCCCGCTCTCCGCCTTCAGCTCCGGCCCCGCCCTTCAGAGGATACCTTCCTCATGCATCGAACACTAAGGCGATGGGAAGTGTAGGCCAGGAGGCGCCCAGGATTGCTTGTATTTTTGTGTTGAAAGTAACATAATAAAGTGGTTTTGCTAACAAATGGGACTTTTCTTGGAAGGCTTAAGATGGAAAGCTGTAGGTTAGAAGCTGCCCGGAAGCCAAGTGTTTTGGCCCCTTCTTTAAGGAACTCCGTAATGACCAGTAGAAAACACTGGTCCAAGTAAGAGGTTTAGTTTTCATTCTTTTAATCCTCACCTTAGGATGTTTATCGCTTTTTAGAGAGGATAGAAACATTCGACTGGTTGCCTCTAGTAAGCGCCAGACTGGGAATGAGCTCACCACCTTTCAGTGTAGGAGTCCCCAACCCAGTGAGCCACACAAGCTGGAGCCAAGTCAGGGGTTTGGGTACCCTCCCCACATCGTCCTGATTGCAGTCACACCCACCACCTTTGTTTTTTATGACACCACACTTGTTTCTTTGCACCACTTATTTCTGATCACTTCATGTGGGTCTCAGCCTGCATGTTTCCTGACTCAGGGAACCTGGTAAGGCAGCTACTAGCATTTATTTAAATTATCTCCTTGCTTTTACCTTCAAGGGCTTTGCCCATCTGTACACCTGACCAGAGTAAATACTTGACAAGCCACTGAATAGCTACATGTTAAGTTAAACTGCCTATTAGCTGGTTCCACAGCATCAAAAAAGGAGAGTGGGTGGTAGGGAGGTCCTAGAGCAGGGAGTCTGTCTGGTCCAAAGTGTCTTTTTCTAGCTCCACTTCAACTCTACTGTTAAATCCCAAAGTTAGCCTTCTGCCAAAGCTTCCACAAAAAAAATTTTGTCATGGTTTTTTTTTTTTGGGGGGGGGAGGGAGGATGGGAGATAGATGGGCTCTTCAAGTTTCACATCAAAATTTGCATCATACCCCTTTTTCCTGACTAAGGTCCTATATAGTTGTGTGTAGATGTAGCAATCCACAATCTTCCCAATCATTGAAAAACCTTGGGAGTAGTTTAGACAGAGGAAGCACAGGTTGTACTGGGAGGCACCATCCCTTCCCACCAGTTAAAAACTGCCACACAGCCTGGCCTGTGTGGCCCCGTGGTTGAGCATCGAACTATGAACCAAGAGGTCACAGATCGATTCCCGGTCAGGGCATATGCCTGGGTTGCAGGATTCCCTATGTAGGGTGTGCAGGAAGCAAGTCGATCAATGATTCTCATCATTGATGTTTCTTTCCCTTCCTCTCTCTGAGATATATATATACACAAACATGCCAGACATAGGTGTGGGGGCCATTGCCCTAAACATCAAGTTTATTGTGCTGTTCTTACATTCCAAACCCAACCCCCTCTCCATGGGGGACAGCAGAGGGATTTTCACAGTACCTGCATGCCTCCCCATCAAGCTTCCCCCTCTTAAGCCTCAGTTCCTCTATCATGTGGTCCACTGAAATGGAGGCAGGGACAAGGGCTGAGGAGAATGGGAATTTCTCCTTGGAAGGACAGGAGGAAGAGGCCAGAGAGCTTGATAACTCCCCACCTCCTGTGCCCTAGGAGAACAGAGATCAGCAAACAGTCCATGCCATCCAGCCAGTGGGCTGGGGGCAGAG